TAGAAAATACTAAATTTAATAATTTAAAAATTGAATAACAATAAGAATAACAATTATTGTTCGTATTTTATTATTCATGCAATTATTCGATCGATCTATCATCTTCACGATTCCGTAAGAGAGAGGTTAAGCAAACGATTGTTAATTATCGTTAATTATTGTGATTGTTCGTGCATCAAAATTAAGAGAGGGCACCTGTAATCGATTACCATTGGCTATCACTGGCCAGCTAATCGAAATTAAGAGAGGGGATTGGTCATCGATTACCGCCGTTTACCATCGATTACTAGCCATCAAAATTTAAGAGATGGCGCTGGCCGCCATCGTCACCGATGTATTGGCGTCTGTCATTCGAACGATCGCACCTTACAAAATATGAAACTTAAAAAGTACATGCAATATATCAAAAAAAGAAAGAGAGAGAGAGAGAGAGTAGCTACTAACGAAACTACTTGAAATTTCATTCGAAAATGAAAAGAAGAAAGATGGCGATCAGATCGAAAATTAACTTCATATTCTCGAAAGAATTTGATTTCATTTTTTTACAACCAAGATTGGATTGAAATCCAATGGGTGATAATCCGATTTTTGATCTCGATTTTTAAAAAGATCAAAAATCCGCCGCGATTCGAGAACCCATAATCGCGAGAATTTTCGTTCCTGCGACTCGAAAAAGCTGGACAAACAGTTTGTCGCTTCTGACAAATAGGAAGGAGAGGGGGCAAGGGCTGAAGGAAGAGAGGAGAGGGGGAAAGTCGACAGCGGTGCGTTTCGAGTTTCAAGAATTCGAGGCAGGAAAGTTGGTGGCAATATTTGACGGATGGAATTAAGTTTATTCGACAAGCGGTATTACGGGCACGTTGACGAGTCATACACGAGTAATGCGGTTTACGCTCCGCGTTTCAATTTCTCTTTGACGCGCGTTGCAATACTGCAAATACAGCGCGAACTGCACAAATATCCAGTAGGTAGACTCGGTTTCAAAGATCCGGGTCGTATTTAAAAGCGCGACGAATCTCGGATCGATCGATATTCACGATTCGATTCTCTGAGAAGAGAAATGAAAATTCTTCATACGTGATTTCTTGCATAACAATTGTGGAAACAATCGAGAGATATTAGATCTAAACTCTATTTATTCGAATCGATTGAGTAATTCGAAACGTAATTCGATGATGATTTATTGAAAATTAATCGTGGAAAGGATTAATCTATTAATTTATTAAGGAATAAGGGTGAATTACGTTCGATCGAGAAATGGTTTCTGGTTAATTCCAATGACGTGTTAAGATATTTAAAAATTTAATTCGATCGAGAAAGTGTCGTGACGATTACTTCTTGCAAATTAATCATGGGAAGGATTAATTCTAATGACACGTATTAAGTGATTCTATTTAAAAATCTAATTTTAGAAATTAAGGAATATTGATAAAATAGGGGTGGAACTATTGAGAAAATAATGATGACTTCTTGCAAATTAAATCCTGGAAATAGTTAATTCTAATTTTATTTAAAAATCTAATTTTAGAAATTAAGGAATAGGAATAGAAATATTGGATAGAGAAAGTGATGGTTTTATTTAATTCCAATAACAATACTTATGATTTAAAAATTTAATTTTGAAGATTAAAGAATAGAGATGAAACATTTAATTAAAACAGTGATGATGACTTTTCGCAAATTAATTCTGTAAATAACAAATAGTTAATTCTAATTAACACATATTAAATTAAATTTAAAAATCTAATTTCAGAGATTAAGGGACAGGGATGAAATTATTGAAAAAGTAATTATTGTCGTTGATTTGAATAATGAGATAAGATAGATAGAAATTTCTCAATTTCTCTTTTGCTTTACGATCCTAACTCATTTCACAAACTTTATTTATAACAACTTTTTAACAAACTGAATTCTACTATTTACATTATTATTTTATGCTTTTCGATAGAAGCGAGCGGAACAAATTTGAAATCCAGCTCCGAGACCACTTTCAGACACCAGAACAAAGTATCCATCCATATTTCTTTCTTCTCGTCCATCGAATCTGCGTAAAAATCACGATAAGTAAATAATTTCCGATTTTTGCAACAGATTCTCCTAGTTAAATTGACGTATGAAACGTATGATCGTGTGTATGCATGGTGTATACGCGATGAGAGAGAGAGAGAGAGAGAGAGAGAGAGAGAGAGAGAGAGAGAGAGAGATGGAGGAATATCGCGATCCTGATATCGATGGAACACGCACCAAACTTTCAAAGGAGTATGTTTACCAGAAGCAAATGTGCGAGTTTGTTTTGGAAATCGAGTCTCTTTGGCTTCCTTCCGAAAATCAGATTTCCTTTACACGCACAGCGTAGTAGTAATTAACTAACTTACATCTTTCCTTCTCCTCCAACTTTTAGATAGATAGATAGATAGAGAGAGAGAGAGAGAGCTTCTCATAAAACTTAGATTTCTTTCTTCTTGAAACCTCTGTTGCAAACAATGGAAAATCTAGGAGGAAATCAAAGATGGAGATAAAGATTGGTCGTTGTTGAATTGTTCTTCCATGTTTTATTTATTTAAATCGATTTAAGTCTGGGCAGAGTTTCCGCTTTCCAGATTGTCGGCGGAACAGATCGTTTCGAAAAGGACAATTTGGCGAGTACCTAGTTTCAATATTTATAATTTAAGAGTTTGCATCTTTTTCTTCTTCTTCTTCTTCTTCTTCTTCTTTTGGAGAGAAAAGGATTCTCCCTTTGAAAGTTGTTGAAAGCGACATCGAGGGCGCATGGAAACGGAGAGAGTAAACAGAAGTAGACGATTCACAATAAATATCTACACGCCCTTACCTCGTCGTAGAATCGTTTCGTCGATTGCCTACGAAAATTACCTTTCTCGCATTAAACGGAAACCATCGAATTCTTATCGCATACTCTCGTTAAAAAACTCGACGAAATTTGATTAATTCCAATCTTTACAAATATCGCATTTCACGAATGCTCGACAAAAAGGGGAGAAAAAAAAAATTATGATCGAGCGAAGATAAACAGGGAAAATACATATTCGACGTTTATTAAACGAAAGATAATAGGGAGAATCGATGGCCAAAAGAGGAGCACGTAGTGTAAAAAGTTGGACGAGCGGGATGGGATATTCGGTTGGGCAAGCCGCGTTGTGCCGCGTGGGCTGGAACATATGTAGGGTATACATGGGTGTATACCCGCTTTTTAAAACGGCGATACACGATAGGCTGGACCGTTGGCCGACCGCAACAACATTTGCAAAGTCGGCAGAGATCATTGTTTCCCCGCAACGCGTTTTTATCCGCCCGATGCCCGCGCATCGGTTAACGTTAATTTCTACTTTCTGACTTCCCCCACCTTTTTCCCTTCGCGCCTCGTTGCGCGCGTTTCCACCAACGGTTTTTTCCCCCCCTACTGTTTTTCAATGTGCGCGCGGATCAGGGACGAGATGTTTCGTGCGTGGAACCGACCTGTTTTGAGAGAAAAAAAAAAAAAAAAAAAAAAAAAAAAAAAAAAAAAAAAAAAAAAAAAAAAAAAGGAACTGGTTCTGAATTTTTAAATTATACCACACCCAGAGGTGGTGATTTCCTTCCGTGAAACGCGATTCTTACCGTGTTTTTTTTTTAAAGGGGGAGAAGAAGGAAGTGGTTTAATGCGCTTCGCAGAATTTTTGAGTGAACAAGTTTGGGCAAAATGATCGACGTTACTGGAAATATTTAAAGTATTTAAGATCATCGTTGGGTAACTAATGAATATGCATTACAATATGTAAAGTTTGTGATAATAGGGACGATATTTTTGCATACTAATTTTTTTTTTCTTCTGCAAACATGTTCCATGAATAAAATGTAAGTTCAAAAATTGAAATATGAATTAAAAATAATGGATATTTATTCTTCTTCACTTTGTATTTGAACGAAGTAAAAATAAGAAGTTTATAACATTGTATTGATACAGTTTTCTTCATAAGTTGCAAAGATTATATAATTTCTTCTTTTGTAAGGTTAGATTTTTTTTTTTTTTAAATAGAATATTCATCTCTACTTTACATTTGAATGAAGTGAAAATAAGAATTTATATCTATTTTTTTGATACAATTTTCTTTATATAATTGCATTTATTTAGATTTTTTTTTTTAAATAGAATATTCAATTATATTAAGATACAATTCAAGAATTGAAATACGAATTAAAAATATGGATATTTACTCTTCTCCACTTTTTGAATAGAAATAGAAAATAAAAAGTTTATAACGTTATATTTATATCTGTTTCTTTGATACAGTTTTCTTTATAAGTTGTAGGAATATATGTATAATTTATATGGGAAAAACATCGGATGAGAAAGTTCCAATTAGCGAATGGATAGGGAGAAAATTACTTTCCCGAGAATTAACGAGACGATAAAGACCTAGCGTAATGAGCAGATAATCAACAGCCTCGGTATACACTGGGCCAGGCGCAACAGAGAGATTCTAATTAACGAAAGATGAACGTGACCATTTTAACCTGAACAAATTGCGCGCGTGGTCAAACCTAATAAACAGTATTATGCACCTATTAAAAAGAATCTGATTGTAATTTAAATACTCGGTGTAATATAAACGTACAAAGTGATCATCGTGATTATTAAAAATGTTCATCGTTAACAGAGTTGAAAATTAATGATTTCAAAATTTAGAGAGGAAAAATAAATCATCTTCAGGTATTTTTAATCAGGACTTCGATAAAATTTCAAATAAGAAAAATTCCGTATAGTATCGTGAAATCGCAAAATTAAAAATTAATTTTTAAAAAATTTAAAAATTTAAAATGAAAAAGAAAAAAAAATCTTTGCTTTTTTTTGACGAAGGAAATTTTATGGACGAGCGGCTCTCTGCAATAAGTTTTTAAAGTTACAAAGTTACAGCTTCTATTTGATGATGAGCTCAATGGATAAGAAAGAAACCCCTCCTTATCGCGTAAGCGTTGGATATATAAATTGTGAGTCGGCTTACCGTGCAACAGTATCGAGAAGAAGAAAATGCAGATGATTTTGGCCAGAATCTTGGCGCACCAGCCACTCCCGTTGCCGCCATACCATAAATCCATTCGTAGCGTCTTCACGGTCCATCGTTTCCGGTACATTTCGCGATACCAGCCTCAAAGTCGTGCCAGCTCGAGTAGAGCGATGAATCTTTTCTGCCAGCAACAAAACAGAAATATACTTGCCGCGTTTACAGACCTCCATTGTCGAAATTGTGAACAAAAGTCACTCAAAGAACAGTTTTCCTTTCGACAATATCTATTTTCGAATAGATTTCAATGCTTACGAATTGTTTCGAAAAATAAATTATTTTTCAAAGTATGAAAAATTGTGGAGAGAGAGATTGCGAGAAAAACACAAATACGCGAATATCCTTTTGACAATTATTTTATAGAGATCGCTTCGTCGATTTTAATTATCGTTTATTCGTCGAACAATGCTCTCGAATTATTTTACAAAGCGAGTGGAAATTTGTCGAAAGATTAAAGATTTTGCGAAAAAAAATATAAAGCGTGTAAATACATAAATTTCGTTAAAAAATAAAATTTTGATTTTATTCGTTTATAATTGATTATCTTATATCTTTGATTAACTATTCATGATGATGATGTCCAATTTGCCTATTTGCAGATGCCAAATATCATTACGCAACACAATCGAACAAGCATTTGCGTAATAGGAATCGTATAGATTACAATATGTACGATAATAATATTTGTTATATAATTTGTAGATTTTGGGCAGGGAACTGTAGGCACAAAAGCGACGCGATGGCAATTTCAGAATGTTTACAATTTCGATTATCTAGTCGAATTTATCATCATTGTGTATTACGTCAATAATCGAGCTTATATTATAAGCAAATTGACAATCATTTCCACATTGGCAAAGATGATATAGATATCGAATAATTATATTCTTTACTTAAATTTTAAACGACATTAGTTTCCACGTTCAAAAAAAATTTACACGATGCTTATCGAAAATTTATTTCTTCAATAATTTACGACGAATGAATTTTTTGATAAAATATTTGTTTTTTTTCTTGTTTCGACATCAAAATCAAACTCGAGATCCTGCACGATATCATGATTTCGAATTTCGATCACTTGATCGTAGGTTTATAATTGGCAGGATTAATTGCGTGCAGGTGCATTGCGACGCTTGATGTACTAATTTTGCACGTCGTCGAATGCGTGGAATTCGCTTCAATTTCAGGCCTTCCTGGAATCGAATTTGTTCGTCAAATAATCTATATAAATTCCAAATTTATTACGCTTATTGACTCGATTCTTCTCTTTGATGAGAACTTTGATGACCGTTGCACGCGTCAATTTTGAAAATGAAATTTGCACAGACAAAGATAAATACGAATTTTGTTTGAATCGAAAATTTGAATTCTATATAGACGGAATTAATAATTTCATCCAAATAAATTCAAATTTTATTACTTTCTTTTTTTTGAAAATTTTCTTATTAAATTCTTTTTTTGAATAAAAGAGCAAATAAACAAATAAATTGAATTTTCATTGTATATAGAGATGATTTTAAAATTTTCCTGGCCGATCGAAAGAGATTTTAATTATCAGCAACTGATATATTCTAGTCAAGCAGGGCCAGTAATTTTCGTGAAAAAATTTAATGGAAATTATGCAAACTAATGCAAATATAATGAAAATGCATCAATGTTGCATGATTGGATCAACGAACTATAGTGAGCTGAGCAATATACTCATTATACAAAGTGATTCAGAAATACACATCAATATTTCGAGAATTTACATATTATTATTACTAGTTATTAATAATATACATATATAATAACTAAAGTGCAAAGCATTGACACGTATTTTTGAATCCAGTAATATATATATCGCTTCAAACGCATAATAAAAAACGTACCCTAGTCGTCGTGTCACCAGTTGTCGACTCGCTGTTACCGATAAAAGGTGTCTATTGCATTCGTGTCGAAGTCACGCGTTCCTTTCTTCTCCGCTGCATTTCCCTCGTTTTTTTCCAACCCGTCTCGTTGAAAATTGACGCCGAGAAATTCATTCTCGCACTTCACCGAGCATCCACCGTCTCCGAATAAGCACGCTCCATCTCGTATCTTCAATCAACGTTATATTCGGCCGACATATCTTTTCTTCTTCAACGAAACACTCAACCAATCACGAAGCGCGCTATTTAACGTTAGAATCCGTCATGGAAAACCAGGCACTGAAATGGATCAACGAAAAGACGTTCGCAGCTAGTATAATAAATTAAAATCAACACTACTACTAGAACAATAAATCTGCCACGTGAATATCGGTAACGCGATTGAATTTTTTAAAATAATCTCACGTTAAAATCTTAATGTAATAAATTTTTGTCTCGTAAATATTTAACACACTTTTTAGATTATAGTATTTTTCACGAATCCTTCAACGAATCGTCACACTACTTTTAATGTATCATCATATCGAGAAAATTACGCGCAATACGAAGCAACAAAGCATGATTAATCAATTATAGAATCACATACAGAAATGATCGATAATTACACAATAATTCTTTATTTTCACATAATCTAACTTTTTCGAAATCCGTTCTAAATGAAGAATCGACTCCTCGAAGCACTTCCTTTCATTTAAATTCACTTTTTCTTCGATTCTTTTCACGTCGGATAACTTTTACACGAATCGAGACATTCCTTGTGAATCGAATTTCCACGTGACAGGCTTGTGCATTTTGTGCCGAGATACGGTAACGCGACATTCGCCTCGCGCAATCACGAGTCTACCCGGTGATGCTTCTCCTTAAGTGCCACTCATTCGTCATTGGACACGCACACTCCGTTCCTCGTGAGCCACGTTTCATCGCGTGTGTGTACACGCATGGGCAATACCGCGAGAGCCACCGGTGGTGGAGCGACTGAAACGAAATAGTCGCCCCACGTCGAGACGACAGAGAGGAGAATAGAGATGGGCATGGTGGTATATGAAATAAGGAAGGAAGGAAGGAAGGAAGAAAGGAAGGAAGGGAGAGAGAGAGAGAGAGAGAGAAAGAGAGAGAATACAGAGGTTAAGTAGTGGTCAGAGAGGGGAAGAAGAAAGTCGTAAGATGGATAAGTGGGCGATCGAAAAGAGTAAGTAGGAGTGAATGGTGTCCGAGAAAGAGTCGAGAGAGAAAAAAAAGAGGAAGAAGAGGAAAAAGAGTGGCGCGTAAAGAGATCCGTGAGAGCGAAATGCTGCCGTGGTGAAGACCGCGATCCAACTGCGCCCGCGCTTAGCCAGATATCAGCCCCCAACCACCGGCGTCGACTCTCTCCCCTCCGCCTCTGCCCGCTTCACTTTGCTCTACACTGGCGACCACGTTGCCAGTGGTGGCTAACGCCAGTCGATAGCGTGTTGCTATTATTATTGCGATGATCGACGCCTTGACTATTATTACCGTCGTATCCGTTGCCTGTTAAATTCGATAGTGCGATTCCTTGTTACGATCGAACTACTGTTCTGTGCCGCCATATGATAGTCCGTTATGACTCGAATTGACCGAGATTTCGACGGTCGAATATTCCTTTTCACCGATATTTGCACTCTACGTGACAATATCCGATGCCTTCTCGCTATTATTGCTATAGTATCGCTGGAAATTGGAAATGTAGGACGTTCGAAATAGAGGACATTCCTTGTTCGAATGGATAGAGAATCGAGATTCTCTTAACTCCTATTTGCTTACTGCGAGTCAATTCGAGAATCGAGGAGAGAATGTTTCAATGATACGTAAAAGTTTGTTTGGAACATAAAGCTAAAATTAACCTCTTGGACGAAGAGATACACAACAAAGAACTTTCTTTCTTGTACTTTTAAGAATTCTAATTCAAAATATACATATGTGTGTACATTATATATATATATATATATATATATAATGATGTTTATTATATTGAAAAACACAGAAATTTAAAAAGTATTTCTTTTATTGGATTTGAATTCTTTCCATTCTAATGATGAGTTGAATCTAACGATGAATTGAATTTTAAGTATAGGTAGCAAATTTAATTTATATCTATTTCTTTTTTGAAAAAAAAATTTTTTCTTTAATATCCACATTTCAGCGAAGTTCCGTTTATCTTTGCTTCGTACATTCATCTCAAATGAAATTCTCGAAGTTCTCAATTCCCAAGTTTTGATTCTGACGAATATATAATACATATCCTCGATTTTATAATACATATATATGTAATATTTTAGTTTTTCAATTGAAATATTTACCAACGCATTCTATATGAACCGATATTCTTTATTAATTCAAAGAAAATTAAACGCGATTCGAAACGATTGATATTTGCGGAATATCGATAAATTTTATTTCGGCCAGTCACGGTATGAAATTTTAATTTATGTAGCGGGAATTATGGCTAAAGATCACGAAAGAATTTTTCTTTTAAAGAATTGGATTAAAAGATTTCTCTGACACCATATTTAAATAAATCGGATGCCAATAGACAACTAGTTTATCAAAATTGCGTTTATATTAATGACATCGATATTTTCTACGCTTTCAATTTTGTTCGCATCTTGTTATCTCCCTTAACAATTTTTTAATTAACAATACGTCATTCTCGTTTAGAATTTTTGTATACGGAAAGAAAATAAAAATCGGTATCAAGGATTAAATTTTCGGAGAAATTAATTATTTTAAAATTATTTATGAAATTGAAATATTGCGTTGCTTCTTTTTTTTTAATTTATTTAACATCGCTTTCGAAAACAATTTGAATTTATAGTTGCGTTATTTTGTAAAAAAAAAGAAAAAAAAGAATATATACATCATCAAGAAAACATCGACGAGGAATCAACTTCTATCGTTTATTTTTTTATTTTTCCCATATTTTTTCTGTTTGTTTATCGCGAACACGTTTGAATCTCGTGGAAATAAAAATCGTACGTAAATTGAAATATTCGATGATTCGATCGAATATTGAATACTCTATCGCATATCGAATAATCTTTCGATTGAATAAGTTTTTGATTTTTTTTTTAGGAATTTATTTCGCGCGAAAATTGTGATTGAAAATATTTCTTAAAGACGAAAAATTCTTTTCTTTTTCTTTTTCTTTTTTTTCACGGCTATCGATCATTAACGCGTTTAAAGAACATCCTGCTCATTTGACTCCGATTTTTATTTACAACGAGACACGTCAGTCGAGAAATCATAAACGCGAAAAGCTGTCCAAGTGTATCGATCAATGAATAAAGCGCCGTGTGTTTACGTAAAGTCACGTTGTGTCACACGTTTCATATTCGAAAAATCTTTCGATATTGAAATATCTCCAATACAAAAATTTCGTTTAAAAAACGCAAAAAATAAAGCCGGAAAAAGCTTTGTGTCGATGTATCATAGTCAATAAATGTACAGACGATAATTGATGTTAATGAAAAGTTAAAATGGTGACGTTAAAAAACACCGTTCGAACAACAGAAATAATTATTTTCGCGTACAAATAAATTATAAGCTATCGAAAAGATGTCATTTATTATTATTGAAATAATAATAATAATTTGATCGTTTTTTTTGTTCTTTTCTTCTCTCACATTCTTCCAGTTCTATTCATAAAGGTTCACAAAGGTTCAACGTAAGATTCACTAATCTTTCTGTTCGAGTAGATCCTTCTTCTTCATTTTAATATATCGTAGCAAACAATTTTGACCGTGATATACATTTCTTTCGTTAGAAGAAGATTCGAAATTAAAAAACAGGGCTTCTCTTTATTTTTCCTTCGTTTCTCGTCTCCGCTTTTAAAATCGCAATGAATTATATTATATAATATATATTAATATATAATAATATATAATAATTATGAATAACATTTCACAACAAAACTGTTTTAAACAACTTTATCAACGTGATTTCAATATATAGTGGATATAGTTTCGCGGTAGTTGGACGTCATGATAATTCTCGTTACGACCACGTGCCACGAAAACTAGGCTATCTCTTTAATAATTCCTTAAAACGGTGCTCATTACTTTGCGACGACCTCGTTTAACCATAAAGGATATTTCATACTTCCTTTGCTCGAGCTCTTGTTTCCATATATTTTTAGGAAACGTAACACGCGTATATCCAACTCTGGAAACCGCAGGTTAACTTTTTCACTTCATTTCCGTCTATTAACAATTTCTCTTGGATCGTTTTGCAGCTCTCGTTCGAGGCAAATTTTTCGAGGACACACATCGTGCAAAAGAAAAGAAAGAAAAAAATAATATTCAACGGTGAAAGTAAGAAATTCGACTGGAATGAAAAATCACACGAAATGTTAAAACTTCGACTCGCGCCATTTTATAACGATCTTTTTTCGGAGGGGAAGAGAGAGAAAGAAAGATAGATAGAGAATTGCAGAACTCTTGAATTTACACTCTCGTCCATTTTCACGAATGGAGTTCGAAAGAAAAGAACGGAAGGGCAAAAATTCAAAATAAACACTTGTCGAACTCGCTTTGGAAGCACTTCAAAAGAAATTGTCATTCGCGTGAAGCGCTTATCGCCTCTAAAACAAAAAATTTTTCTACGTTATAAAAACACTTTTATTTCTTTAAATAATCTTTCGACCTTTGACTTAATATCGTTTATTCTCCATGATAATTTTATTCACACATTGATTTACAATTTCAATTTTAAATTTACGTCTATTATAAGAATACAATATTCTTTCTCCACGATCGATGTCAGGCTACATTTAATCGATACATTATAATTTCGACGATTCCACAACGTAACTGTCACGTTTGTTCAATCATAACCTATAAATATCACAAAGAAAGAAGCAAGAACCAGCACAAAATTCCCGTCTCCTCGTTCCTCAAAGTATATTCATAATCAGTAAAGCTTAAAACTATACGTTTAAATAAACTTTCTGGACCACGAGCAATCCTATTTCGTGCAATTTGTCAAAGAATCAGGCGTCTGGTCGAGGCAAGTTTTGTCGAGCAAACGCGCGACAACAATTAAGAGCATTAGCAAGTGGAGAGAGGGGAGGGGGGAGGACGGAATGGCGGAAAGTTTTGGCGGCCTGTGACGAGGAATTAGCGGATGGTTCTCCGTGAGGACTAACTACCGTTGGCTTAGGCCAAGATCGAGGATCGCAATTCGAGGCGCAACTCTTTAACGCTCCCATCCGAGGGAAGGAATACACGGGCGCCAAACCCACCGGGCCGTCCGTGACTCGACTTTATCCGAAACTTTCCTCTGCCACTCGTAAAATTTTTACGCGGGCCATTTTTCAGGGCTGGAATCGTGATCGTGTGCTTGAAATCTGGGAAGAGATTTCGCCCTCTTTGGATGCGGTGTGTACTATTATTATTACTACTACGAGCTCGATTTTATGGCATCGCGTAATTTATGGGTGCAGTGAATTTGATAAAGAATTTTATAAAAATGAAATTCTTCTTTATTCCGCCGGTATAATGCCAGTATATGCCAGTATTAATAAAAACGAAACCATGTGGATTTTTTCACGTCGATAATTCTCAACAAGTGCGTATCTTTAGTTATCGTAAATATTCAATGGAAAAGTGATATAAATAATCAAAAATTAAACAATTTTAGAAAAATATGTTATAAAAATATCGCAAAGTAAGAAATTGAAAGTTCACAATTTTTTTGAGAACTGTCAATGAAAAGTAGAAAACTTTTTTACCGATAAAGGTAAATTTTCAAATCCCAAGTTTGTTGAAATGTTTAATTTTGGTATCGCGAAATTCATGGATATAATTGGTGAACAGATTTACGACGAGCTAAACCATTTTATCGACGCGCGGAGGGGAGGGGAATCGATAGGTTTCCGTGGAACGATAAATTACGATCGCGCGAATTCCCTTGCGCTTTGCAGGGAGCATTGTCTGGAGAGGAGACGAACGATCGGTACAAAGTTGTGGCGCCTCGTTAAACGTCCGATTTCGATGAGCCGATGATACCTACGAGGCTTAATAAGCTTAACGTTGTTATGCAAATGTTACGTTACACAAGTTCCAAAACAATTTAGTATATATCGTGCAACACGTGAATGGCTCGTGGTGTCTACGTACTTACGTTGCATCGTATAATAAGTTTAACATAGTTCCTGCATCCCGGCGTTCAGACAAATACCAAATTTCCTAACGTGGTGTACGTGCCCAGTTTAACCATCAATTTCTGCCTATCGGTTCTAGCGTTTTGTATCCCTATAATTTTTCATTTCGAAAT